TCAAATAAAGAACCGATGAGATTTTGCAAATTTTATGCGTTTTTTTTTAAAAAAAAGTTATCAAGCTCTTAAAAAATCACCCGTTACTAAACTGTCGATATTTTTGATAGTATAAGAAAAAACTATCAATGAGTATTGATAGTCTAAAAAAATGAAACTATCGATAGTTTGACAACTCTAGTAGGTTGATATTGAAAATGGGCGAAAAAAGCAAAATTCTACGATATTTCCGTAAGTATAGTTATAAATTTTTTTCGAAAATGGACGTGGCACCATCCACTCAGTTAAAGTATTCAACGACAATCTTCAACCTGTAGGAAACTCAACTAACTATACATGAACTATAATTTGTAATCGACTACTCTGCGTACATATGTACATACAAAGCTATCAACAGGTAACGGGGTCAATCTAGACTTCTCTTTAGGATAAATATTTAACTCAGCAATAACTGGGAGTCATCGAGGGAATCCAGCGTGGGCAGATGATTCTGTTCTCTCCTTCGCGACTGCGCACAGTGATATTTGATACCCATTTTGTGCCCATAATTTAAGAAACGAGTGCATTCACCTAAATTCAGATGTACAGGGATTTTTGAGGTCGCTGAATTCGAATCTGAAGTCAAAATAACAAAAACAAAACGGCCGATCCAATATGGCGCCGAAAATTAAAAGAAATTTGCTTGAATTTGAAAAAATATTTATTTAATTCACGTAGTATTGAGTTATATTAGGGTTTTTAAGTTTGTATTTCAAACTCTTAAATAAAGATGCTATTGAATTATAATATAATCATGTTTACGAGTATCTTACACGAAATTGGCTAAAAAACATTAATTAAAAACAAGCAAAAACGTGTAAGTTAGGGCGGAGCCGAACATTGAATACCCGGCGCAAGTAATAAATATAGTTTTTTGACGTTCAGTTAGATGTAATGAGATAAACTTATATTTTCCAAAAATTCCATAAAAATCTTACTTCTTTTTAAGGGATTGTTGTTAGTATCAAATTTGAGTAAATTAGCATTTTTAAATTTAGAAACATCAAAGTTTCAATCTTTTCAGAAATTTACCGTTAAATGAAAAGTGGGCGTAATTTTACCCCGATTTCGATAATTTTCAACGTTTTTATTTTATGCGCCAAGCACAATAATCATACCGAGTTTCGCATAGGTAGCTATAAGTGAG